GCACGCGACGGGCCTCTCCGCACCTGCTCTCACTGCAGCCGCCCCTGACCTACCTGCGCCGACACATTGTAGCCGCTCTGCGGCTTTCTTCCCGCCCACCCCCTCCTCCTTTGTCTCCCTGCAGCCGTGGGGGGGAGGGTATGGGGGTGGCGGGTGTTGGAGCGTTGGGTCGTATCCTTCCCTTCCCCTCCTCCTCCTTTCGTTCCCACTGCTGCAGCTGCCGCTTGGGGGGAGGGTGTGAGGGTGTGGGGGAGACGGGGGAGTGGCACCGGGGTGGCGGGTGTGAGGCAACCAGCAGCCGTCCCTCCACCTCTCCTCTCTTCCCCCCCTCTCTGCTGCTCCTGCAGCAGTGTGGGGGAGGGGAAGGAGGAGGGTGAGGAGATGGAGGGGGTGACCAGCTAGTGTTAGCCCGCCTGCAGTACCTGCTGTTGCTTGTTTATTATTTTGCATGTGTACCCCTACAGGTTGTATTCGGCACAAACTCCTGCTGCAGGCAGTTATGGGGGAGTGTCAGAACTTAACCCGCCAAACCCGTAAAACACTCGGTACAGTGACTGTACGTGTTATTTAAAAAAAAAAACGTTATCGTGTCCCATGTTCTTTACCAGTCGCATATTTTCCCTCTGTTGATTACTTAAGCAAAAACCCTCAACCTTGCAGGTTGAGTGTTAGGGGCTCGCCAGTCTTCGCCGCTCGAGCACGCAAAATACTTGGGCCTCTGCGAGCCTCTGTAACCGGGCTTGCACCACACGCAACCCAATTTCGCCGAACCGCAGGGTCTACAAATCCCGTCAACTCACAGCCCATTTCAAAAATGTCCCCTCCAATTCGCCCCGTTGCATCAATTCGAGTTTGACCTGCCAGATTTCAGCGTCTTCAGAGTTGACTTATCCTCCTGACAACCAGGAACCGTTACTGGGGAAAGAGCAGCAGCAGCAGCAGCAGCAGCAGCAGCAGCAGCAGCAGCAGCAGCAGCAGCAGCAGCAGCAGCAGCAGCAGCAGCAGCAGCAGCAGCAGCAGCAGCAGCAGCAGCAGCAGCAGCAGCAGCAGCAGCAGCAGCAGCAGCAGCAGCAGCAGCAGCAGCAGCAGCAGCAGCAGCAGCAGCAGCAGCAGCAGCAGCAGCAGCAGCAGCAGCAGCAGCAGCAGCAGCAGCAGCAGCAGCAGCAGCAGCAGCAGCAGCAGCAGCAGCAGCAGCAGCAGCAGCAGCAGCAGCAGCAGCAGCAGCAGCAGCAGCAGCAGCAGCAGCAGCAGCAGCAGCAGCAGCAGCAGCAGCAGCAGCAGCAGCAGCAGCAGCAGCAGCAGCAGCAGCAGCAGCAGCAGCAGCAGCAGCAGCAGCAGCAGCAGCAGCAGCAGCAGCAGCAGCAGCAGCAGCAGCAGCAGCAGCAGCAGCAGCAGCAGCAGCAGCAGCAGCAGCAGCAGCAGCAGCAGCAGCAGCAGCAGCAGCAGCAGCAGCAGCAGCAGCAGCAGCAGCAGCAAGCAGCAGCAGCAGCAGCAGCAGCAGCAGCAGCAGCAGCAGCAGCAGCAGCAGCAGCAGCAGCAGCAGCAGCAGCAGCAGCAGCAGCAGCAGCAGCAGCAGCAGCAGCGCAGCAGCAGCAGCAGCAGCAGCAGCAGCAGCAGCAGCAGCAGCAGCAGCAGCAGCAGCAGCAGCAGCAGCAGCAGCAGCAGCAGCAGCAGCAGCAGCAGCAGCAGCAGCAGCAGCAGCAGCAGCAGCAGCAGCAGCAGCAGCAGCAGCAGCAGCAGCAGCCGCAGCAGCAGGAGCAGCAGCAGCAGGAGCAGCAGCGGCAGGAGAAGCAACACACAACAGCAGCTTCTCCTGATGTCGAAACGGAATTGCTGCGGTCCCTTTCCCCAGCCTCCCCGCACTCGCTTCATGGGAACAGCCTCGGTCGTACCCAAATAGCGACTACACCCGCGAATTCAATAACCCTTTCCGCCGATGTTCTCGAGGACGTTTTCAAACTGCTGCAGCGACCCGAACACGCGCACCTAGCTAGCACGGCCTGCAAGGAGTGGCGCGACGTGTTCGAGAGCCGAACCCGCGACTTCTCAGTTGTTTACCACTTGCGAACCGCTCGTTGGGAGCCTTGTTTCCGTGACGTCAGCAACTGCAGTTTCGTTTCAAGGTGGCAGCCGGGAATAGAGAAGCTATGGATTTTAGACGACCCGCCGCTGTGCATGCCAGAGCACGCACGCTTCATGAGCAGAAACCCCTGGTTCACCCCGGCGCTTGTGTCTGATCTGATTTTGTCGAAGAACTTTCGCCAGCTTGATTCCGCGATTCTTTCTCTGGACGGAAAGCAGATTAGCGCCTTGATTAGACGGTTTCCGAACCTGACGTCCGTCAATATCCCAATCTTTATCAACAAGTTTTCTGGCCGGCATGTTTCGGCGTTCCAAGAGGAAGGTTTGCGTGAAGCGCTTTCCGCGGTCGCCACGTGTCGCTCGCTCCGCTCTTGCCGGATCCAGATCCGCTTTCCACGAAACTTTTCCTTCCAATCCCAAATTAGCGCGTTTAACGCCATCCTGACCGAAGGCCTCGTCAAAATTCTTGATTCCTGCCCGCGCCTCCGGTCGTTCCACGTGCAAGCGGACATGCTTCGATTCGCCGTGCCTGACGACTTGCCCGATCTGGTAACCGCAATCTCTTCCTCCTCTGACTCGGCAGACAAAGCAGGTCCCGGAGGCTCGGCACCCGGAGGAACAACGGCGGAGTTAGTACCTCTACCCACTGAACTGCTACCAGGCTCGAAGCATCAGCGGCAGCGCCTTCCCATCTCTCCCTTCCTCTGCATCATCCCCTCTCCGCCTCATTCTCATCCTCCTCCTTTACTTCCACCTTCCCTCACCTCCGTTCGCTTCATCTTCACGTGACTTGCGCCAACGAGTCCTTTTTCGCCGCCGCCGCTCCGTTTTCGCAACTGCGTGTGTTACAAGAGCTTCGCATATGTTACCATGACGAGCTCAGGTCTAGCTCCGAGGTCCACCCGCAGGCACGGGCACCGAGCCTCTCTCCAGACCTGTTTTTTGGCTTGGAACATTCGCTTCGGAAGCTGACTCTCAACCTCCGGGTCGGCTTACGCAATTTTGATGGGAGCCTGGCATTTGTACCCGATATCAGGCACAACTATTTGTTTATTAGATTGCTTCCGGACTCGATATGGGGGCTGGAACGGCTGGAGGAACTGGAGACGGACCTGTGCAGCAGCAGAGCAGCAGCGCGCTGGCAGGAGAGGCGGGCTAGAGCCGTGCAGCTGGAACGGCGAACCGCATTGAGAGTGATTGGCTTTAACGAGGCGGCTGCTGCTGGGGCTGGTACAACGGCAACTGCTGACGTGGCCAACGTGGGCAACGAGGAGGATGAGGCTCTGGACGAGGCGCGTTTCGCGGGCTTTAAGCTGTTGACGACGTTGACTCTCACGTCGGACCAATGGCTGGCCCCTCCGCCATCCCTCAGGCACCTGCCGAGCCTGACGCGTCTGCACATGCCCCTGGCTGCTCCGAGCCTGAGCTCCAGGTCCGGGGTGGGACTGTGGCATCTGACTTCCCTCAAGGACCTGTGCATTTCTGAGGTAGACGGAGGGAGGTTTGGGGAAGGGCAGCAGCAGCAGCAGCAGAGGCAGCAGGAGCAGGGTGAGGGAGGGCAGCAGGGTCAACAAGGTCAGGGACAAGCCCAGAATCCTAAGCCGATTCTCCCTCCCTCTCTACAGTCTTTAACTCTCCATGGACGTTCTTATAGCGAGCAGAGCCTCTCCCGATGGGCCTCCTCTACAATCACACAGCTCAAGCTGGTGAACGTCCGCTGCCCACCAGTCCTGGACTCACAGTGCCTCTTTCCGAACCTTAGGGTCTTCCAAGCCATACACTCCACTGCTCAGGTTGGGGCTCTGCCGAACCTCAGGCACATGCTAGAGAAGGCCGAGCCTGGTTCCGAGATCCGGATGACAGCGCACCCTAGCCTGACTTTTCTGCAGGTGGACCGGCCATGCAGCAAGCACCCGATCCCACCAATGCCCAGGCTTGAAATTCTCATTCTCGACCAGCTTTTCATGGCTTCCAGGACCTTGGAGTGCCTCTCAGCCTGCACTTCTCTGCGCTTTCTACGGCTGTCCAACGTGGGAGCCAAGAGGGGATGCACCGGAAATATCACCTGCCCGCCTAAGCTGAGGACCCTGGAGATTCACGACTCAAGGTTTCCATGCCTGCCCGGGAGCTTTGCGTGTTTTCATCGCATCAGGAAGCTGCGGTTGATCCACTGTGAGCAGATGAAGTCGCTGCCAGAGTACCTGGCGGGCTTTAACAGACTCAGAGAGCTCACCATCAGGGGTTGTAAGGGTAAGATCCAGATCCCAGAGAGTTTGGAGCATGTTTTAGCTTGGGCCAACTATAAGGTGGAAATGTGTGAAGGGGACAGTGTGACTTGAGTAAATAGAGTAATCAATTGGTAGGCGTAGGTTAGTGGTGAAAAGTGATTCAGATTATATTACATGAGAGTTTTGGTTCCTCTAATCTGTTGTCCCCTGTATCGAGGCCCCTAGGGGCATTTCTTTGGGAATCAATTGAGCAAGCATTTCTTAAACCTGTTTGTAGAGCATCCGAAACATCCCCACATAACCCCTGCACGAAGCAGCTCCTAGCATGGCAAGTCCTTCCAGAGAGCTTATTCGCCTCCAAGGTGCGAGGGGCAGAGGAGAGGGGAGGGGGCAGGCAGCAAGGGTCACAACACATGTGGAGGCCAAGTGTATGCTGTGGAGGGTCAGGGCCTCCAGTGGAGGGCAGAGCACTTCCAGAGGCGCAACGAGTGTGCTCATACTTGGGGTTGTGCTCCTTTCGGAAGGTGTGCTCTTGTTGCGGGGTTTGTCCTGCATGTTGTGCTCTCCTGTAGGGCTGTGTGAGCTGAGTTTTTGCCGCCCAGCTGCTTGTCGTCTCTCGGACCTCCTCCTGCCTCTGCCCCTGCCAGCTTGCTGTGATGCTCCTCCTCCCCCCGCACCTCCTGCCTCTCCTTATGCACTTGTTGCATCCTGTGCTGCCACCCCTTCTGCTGCTGCCGCTAATGCTGCTGCCCCTTCTTCTGCCACTCCTTCTGTGGCTGCCCTTTCTGTTGCTGCCCCTCCTGTTGCCACCCCTTCTGCTGCTGGCCTTTCTACCGCCCCTTCTTCTACTGCCCCTTCTTCTGCTGCCCCTTCTGCTGCCCCTTCTTCCACTGCCCCTTCTTCTGCTGCCCCTTCTTCTGCTGCCCCTTCTCTCACTGCCCCTTCTTCTGCTGCCCCTTCTTCCACTGCCCCTTCTTCCACTGCTCCTTCTTCTGCTGCCCCTGCTGCCAGGCCAGGCAAAGCCACTGCCCTAGGCACTGGCGCTGCGCCGAGCAGTGCTGGAAGAGCGTCAGAAGCTTGGCCGCCAGCAACGGCCTGCATGTGCGCCATCAGCTGCTCCGTGAGCGACGGCCTGCAGCAGCCCCCTCCCCCAGCAGCGCCTCGCTCACCTCCGCCAAGGATGAACCGCACCACCTCTTCCACCTCCCTCCCTCCTCCTCCCTTCCTCCCATCACATGGCCTGGTATGTTACAAATGCGAGTCTCCCAGAAGAGATTCACACAAGGTATGGACTCAGTGTGCATGACCAGGGACTGTTTAGGCAGGCCGAGTGAACAAGGCAGAGGAGACGTAGTTCTTGTGGGGCCCGCGCACAAGGTACTCAATGCTGAACCTCTCCACGTGAACACCTTGGAAGGCAAACCGGTACGCCACTTTGTACAAGTCTTTCACACAAAGGTGCTCCCCGACTGCACGCCACGCTCGGGGCAGCGCCTTCTCTACGAAGTCAGCACTCTGAAGGCCTTCATTCTTGTCGGGAGAAGAACCTGACTCTGAAGGGTCCGGAAAGAACCTCAAGTGGTGAAAGAGGTAAGTGCGCTGCGACTTGTCGGCAAAGTGGACGGCAATGCCATCCTCCGGCCCCTCGCACACCCACACATACTCCCGCCACACCTTGTTCCCCTTGCCCCCTGCGCTGCCTGCCATCACAAACTCCCCCTCTTCACGGTACAGGTACTCTCCTTCCCCCGGTCGCATCGTGAACGTGGCTGTCCCTTGCATGGTGCCCGACGGCAGGCCCTCATGCACACTCCGGATCTCCCTCTCCAACCGCCACTTCCCCGCCAGGCCCCGGAACACCGCCCCTGCCACTGCGCTCCCGCCCTCCAACTCGCTGCAAGCACGCGTCAACTGCGCCAGGGCAACCTCAGCGGCAGCGACAGACGGTGCAGTGGTGGGGGTGCAGTAGTGTGCGGGCACCACCACGTCGTGTGCTCTCATCCACTCAGGGTCCGTGGGCAGCGCACACCCGAGCGCCTCAGAGAGCGAGTTGCACATTCCCACATAGTCCCACACAGGGAACTGGGGCCTTGGCTGCTGCTCCCGCACCTTCCTCGCCTCCTCAACGCCCTCTTGTAGGGTGCTGGTTGGAACGGGCGGGAGGGCGCCGGACAGCACGGCTGCGGCCCAACGAGCCTGGAGCTCCATGACAGCAAAGTACGGCCCACGGTACATGCCCACCATGGCTGCACTTGGGAGCGACGGGTGGAACGTGCAGCGGTGCAGCAGCAGCGGCGAGAAGAGGTCGGACGAGTCGAAGCCGATCTGCTCCTTGAGGTGGGTGGGGAGGAAGGGAAGCGCGGGGCTGTAGCCGGTGCAGCAGATGAGTGCATCCACACCGTCGATGCGCTCATCTGTGCCTTGGAGAATTACGGAGGCCTGCAGAGGTGTGCTGCTGTCCTGTGGAGAATGCGGCTGCAGCAGCACGCCCTGCACTCTGCGGGGCAGCACACGGATGAGCCCCTGCTGCACCATGGGCCCATACTGGTCCGAGATGGCGATGAACGGGTGCTCGCTGTCGCTGCTGCTCACGCCCAGCTCCGGGCAGAGGAGCTTACCCTGCACGGACAGAGAGGACGGGGAAAAATCCTGTTAGAGGTACAAGAGGCATGGGGGACGTGAGTCATCGAAGACATAAGTCATGGGGGACATAAGTCATGGGGGACATGAGTCATTGGGGACATGAGTCTTTGGGGACATGACATGAGGCATGGGGGACATGAGGCACGTGAATGGATGGAGCGCAGAGGGTCCTTGAAGCAGGGAAACTGGCCCTTGAAGCTGGGTCCGAGGGGTGCTGAAGCAGGGTCCGAGGGAAACAGGGTCCTTGAAGCAGAGCTAAAACAACCATAGTCAGGTGCTGAGTATGGTCTAAGGTGGTTAAACACTTAAAAGGCTGGTTGGAGAGAGGCTTTAACGTCAAGACAAGGAATCAGGGTCTCATCCCATTGCGGCCTGCGAGTTACCTGATCACCGCACAGAGCGCGCATGTACTTGTTGGCAGCACGCCGCGCCTCTTCACTGCGCAACACGACGAGAGACGGCGAAGGTCGCGAGGCCCTTCGATAGAAGCACAAGTCGAGCGGCAGGAAGGGCGAGGCTGGGTCCGAGGGGTCGGCTGGAAGGAAGCGTGGCAGCAGCCAGAAGGGCTTGGTGATGACGTGGATGACCTCAGAAGCTTTTGATGCCACGTCAGCGGCGATGTCGACGCCGCTGAAGGATGTGCCGACGACGACGACCTTCTTCCCCGCGAAGGCGTCGCTGCTCCTGTAGTTGGCGCTGTGCATAAGGACTCCTGCCGCTGCCGCTGCATCAGCCCCTGGCACGTTGGGGATGTGTGTTTTCTCGAAGAACCCTGACGCGACTACCAGGGAATCGAACACCTCTGGGTTTTGCTGCCGGCCGTCTTGATCCACTTGGACACTCCACTTTCCGTCGTCCAGCAACGCGACGCGGGAGACACGCGCGTTCAGGCGCAGCGAGCCCGAAGCTGCTAATGAGTTTGATCCCGGCGGAATGAGGAACCGGTGGGCGTAGGACTTCAAGTAGGCGAGCACTTGAGCTTGCGACGGGAAGAGCGGCGCATCGTCGGCCCACGGATGGTCGGAGAAACTGCAGGTGACGCGCGATAGGTTTGTCATCATGCCTGCCCAGCACGCAGGCGCTCCATCTGAAGCCCTGGCGGCTGGTTTCGAACAAGATTCTTCTTCAACTGCCTCGCCACTGTCGCTTGGAATGCCTTGCCTCCACAGCCCGCCAATAGAAGCGGCCTTCTCAAACAGTGTGGGTTGAAGGCCTGCCTCGAGGAGGTACTTGGCGGACGCGAGACCTGCGGGGCCACCCCCGATGACCGCAACTCGTTTCAGCCCAATGGGTAGCGCCGCCATTGCCACCGGGCGGAAGCCAGGGAGGGAGCTGTGGACGAGGAAGGGGCGAGCGAGGAGTGAAGGCATTCTAAGCAAACAGAAATGGGTGAAAACCCAGGATCGCAGAGGTGAGCGCCAGACAGCGCATATCTGCCCCCTCGGAAGAAAACGAGGCAATCTCCCACACCACCTTCATTCCCCCTTAGGGTGTGTCAGATCCGAAATCGGACTAAATCCGGCCACTTTTCTGTAATTTTAACAGAAAGTAACAGGGTTGCCACATTCGCAAATATATTCGACGAGCTCGCATAATCCGGCCACTTTTCTGTAATTTTAATGGCCGTTTCAAAATGTCGACATCAATCCGACGTGTAGTCGACTCGAATTCGGCCAGGATGTCGACTGGGCAATGCACAGTATTTCAGCGACGTAACATACGCACGCTAGCCAGTCAACGTGTCATCCAGATCGCAACATCCACTGTTTGTAATCGCTACTAGTATCGCTGCGAAATCTGCGACTCCGTCGCAGCAATCTGGCCAACAAATCTGACAGATTTCAAAAGCGGTCAGCAAATCGGCCACCAAATGTGTCAGATTTGCAAACACAGCCGTAGTTTGTCGACCAAATTTCGACAAATGCGTCGACGTTCGCGAAAATAAATTGAGCGTAACATATGTCAGTCGTAACTGAGCGTGAGAGACCTAGTCACACTACCGGCCTCACGTTCAGCTTCTAGGGCGAATGCAATGCCCCTCGCGACAGATTCCACAGCGCGCCGAACTTATGTGTCCGCTTATAGCCTTTGCTCACTAAAAGCAGGATGCTGCCGAGCACCCGATGCTCTTATTCTGCCAGCACATACGGACCATTTGGATGTTTCTAAATTGATTATTTGATGAGTTTCAACTGTGAAGAAATGAGGAATGAATGAACTAGCAAGCAGGTGGGTACAAGTAGGAAAACCTAGAAGTGTTGTACCCCATATTGTCTACCCCACTACAGCCTACACATACTATAGCATATGAGTTTGACACACCCCCATAGGCAAAGTGGGGGAGAACAAGAGGTCACAAGACCAGTCAAGCAAAGCAAAGCAAGCTCAGGGTGGATCACAACGTCACCACACAATCCGAGCACAAGAGCAAGGCCAAAAGGCCAGTTCACATGCAAGATCATATATAAAGGTAAAAAAGCAAGTGCAGGTATAGAAAGATCACAGTACAAGCAAGGTCAAGAAGTGAGCAAGTGAGGCCAAGTAGGCACAAGACCTAGCATCGTACAGAAACGCTGATGATCACCAGGCGGAAGTGCCTTGGTAAAGATATCAGAAGTGTTGGCCTTAGAGGCCACGTAAGCAAGGCGCAGCTGACCACGCTGCTGCAGCTCACGAGCAAGGAAGTAGCGAAGAGCAATGTGCTTCGTTCTGTGCTCCAGTCTGTGCTCCCAACACAAGGCCAGCATGGCCTTGTTGTCTACGTACAGAACTGGAGGAGAACGAGGCGCCTCTCCTAGGTCAGTCAGCAGGTAGGTGAGCCAGCGTAACTCCTGTGCAGCCATGTGTGACTAAGTCAGGGTAATGGTGCGCTGTGCTCTGTCCCGGGTGATCTGCAAGCCAATGTAGCTGCGCAGTTCGCCCAGGTCAGTGCACGTGTGTCTCTTCTGCAGCTCGGACTTCACGTGGGCGAGTCCAGCAGTGTCAGCAGTAGCAAAGACCAAGTCGTCGACGTACACGAGGATGTAGAACGGCGGCAAAGAGGTGTCGGTGCGTAGAAACAGCGACGGGTCGGCTGTAGAAGGAGCAAACCCAAGAGCCGCAAGTGTAGTCCTCAGTGTGTCGTGCCACTCACGAGGTGCCTGGATGGGGGGGGCAGCCGCATGGATCATGGACGTACGAGCGACGTCCATGACAATGCCAATGCGGCGCTCAGCAATCCCATTTTGCTGTGGAGAGGCCGGAAGCGTGAAGGTCTTACGGATGCCCTGTGCACGACAGAAGGCTCCTAGACGGGCAGAGGTAAACTTCCCGCCTCTGTCAGAGTGCAGACGCAAAACAGGAAAGTCCGAGCCGAAACTCTCTCTGAGCTGAAGACAAGCTGCGCGGATCCAGTCGATCAACACCTCAGTGACGTCACCCTGTGAAAGGAATGAACAGGAATGAATTGACTAAGTCAGAGTTGGGTACAAATACAACCCTAGCAAACTGTACCCCATATGTGCTACCCCACTATAGCCTACAAACATGCATCAGCTATAATAATCTGACACACCCCCATAGGCAAAGTGGGGGAGAACAAGGGGTCACAAGACCAGTCAAGCAAAGCAAAGCAAGCTCAGGGTGGATCACAAAGTCACCACACAGTCCGAGCACAAGAGCAAGGCCAGAGGCCAGTTCACATGCAGGAGTACAGACATATATATAAAACTAGACAAGCAAGAGCAGGTATATATATGTCAAAGTACAAGTAAAGTCAAGAAGAGAGCAAGTGAGGCAAGACAGGTACAAGACCCAGCTGGGTACAAAAGCGCTGATGGTCGCAAGGCGCAAGTGCCTTGGTGAACACATCAGCAGTGTTGGCCTCAGAGGCCACGTAAGCAAGTCGCAACTGACCACGCTGCTGCAGCTCACGAGCAAGGAAGTAGCGGAGAGCAATGTGCTTCGTTCTGTGCTCCAAGCGCTGCTCTCGACACAAGGCCAACATGGCCTTGTTGTCTACGTACAGCACTGGAGGAGAACGAGGCAGCTCTCCAAGGTCAGTCAGCAGGTAGGTGAGCCAGCGAAGCTCCTGTGCAGCCATGGCCCCGGCGTAGATCTCAGCCTCACAACTGGAGCCGAGAACCGAAGACGAGCGAGTAGACCGCCACGAGACAGAGCCGGAACCAAGGCTGAAGGTGTAACCCTGTGACGACCGCTAAGTAGCCTGGTCGTCAGCCCAAGAAGCGTCTGCGTGCCCAGTAAGGACCACTGGACTCCGCCCTCCAAGCACTAGCCCCATGCCCGACGTACTGCACAGGTAGCGCAATACCCTCTTCGCTGCAGCCATGTGCTCTAGTTTGTGTCTCCCAGGAGCAACATAGCGTGCAAGGATGCTCAGAGGGTATGCAAGGTCAGGTCGTGTGCAGGTCATCAGGTACATGAGGCAGCCAACAAGCTCTGCATACGGACCACTCGACTCTACGGACTCATCCGAAGGCAGAGCTGAGAGTGAGTGGCGAGTAGGCAGAGGAGTGGCCTGAGGCGAGGAGTACGTGAAGCCGAAGCGCTGAAGGACCTGCTGCACCATGTGTGACTGAGTCAGGGTAATGGTGCGGCGTGCTCTGTCCCGAGTGATCTGCAAGCCAAGGTAGCTGCGCAGTTCACCCAGGTCTGTGCACGTGTGTCTCTTCAGCAGCTCGGACTTCACGTAGGCGAGTCCAGCAGTGTCCGCTGTGGCAAAGACCAAGTCGTCGACGTACACGAGGATGTAGAACGGCGGCAGGGAAGTGTCGGTGCGAAGAAACAGCGACGGGTCGGCAGTAGAAGGAGCAAACCCAAGAGCCGCAAGCGTAGTCCTCAGTGTGTCGTGCCACTCACGCGGTGCCTGGCGGAGACCGTAGACTGGCCGTCGGAGGCTCCACTGGGTGCCAGGAGGGAAAGTCCCAGTGAAGCCAGGCGGACGGCGCAGCCAGATCTCCTCGTGCAGGCTACCCTGCAGGAACGCAGTGCTGAAGTCGAGAGAGTGAAGCTCGTAGTCGCGCTGAGCGTCAATGTGCAGCAGCACCCGAAGAGTGGTCATCTTCGGGGTGGGAGAGAAGGTCTGAAAGTAGTCAACTCCCTGCCGCTGACTGAAGCCACGAGCCACGTAACGCGCCTTGAAGACAGGCGGCGAGCCCGGCGGCCGCTTCACCCTGAAGATCCACATGCCACTGACGATGTTCGCCCCAGGAGGGGGAACCGCGTCAACGTAGGTGCCTGTGGACTTCCAGGAAGCCATCTCTGCATCCATAGCTGCCTGCCACTGAGAGGAGTAGGGACCCTCTACGGCCTCCGCGTAAGAACGCGGAGTCGGGATGTCTAGTGCATCCGGGTCTCCCTCAGGGGCTAGCAGTACAGACGCGAGACGAGGTGAAGCAGCGGCTAGACACTGGAACTCCTCCTGCCTGTCCTCTAGGACGTCCGTGCCAAGGGCACACTCACCCCCGACGGACGGAGGACAGGCGGACTCTGACTCAGCGACAAGACGAGCAGCGTAGTCTAGACGACAGCGCGCAGCAAAGTCGACAAGCTCAGTGACAAGGGCAGACGCAGCAGACGACGCGAAGGAAGGGTCAGTGACAGCAGTAGCAAGGAGACGCGTGACAGTAGGACTGGCAGCACGAAGAGAGTCCGACTCCGGGTCGGCAAGAGCAGGAAGAGAGGAAGCAGGAGGAGAAGGCAAAGGGGCACGCAGAGGAGCAGTGGACGGACGCAGTGACATCCGGTGCGTGCCAGGGACAGGAGGAGGACGCTGACGCGACCCGCGACCACTAGCGCGCTCAGTACGAACAGGCGACGCAGGACGAGACGCAGGCTCACGACGCTCAGTAAGGCCTCCAGTCGGACCAGCGTAGGGAGAAGGAGCAGGCAAAGGGGAGGCAGGCTCTAGCTGTGGCTGTGACCGGACAGGCTGCGGACCCTCTAAGGGAGGAGGAGGAGGAGCTAGACCAAGAACCTGCTCCAGGAGCGGAACGAAGTACGGTCGAGACCGCGCGGCGACGCCAGAAACAGCAGGAACAGAACCAGCAGCTCCGGCCGGAGCACCCACTCCAGCAGCACCTCCAGCAGAACCACCAGAAGCTCCAGAACCTCCAGCAGCAGCACCAGGAGCACCGTCAGTCGGACCACCAACCGCAGGCTCAGCGCCAACGTCCTCAGCAGGACCAGCTCCAGGAGAACCCTCAGACCCAGCAGCTCCAGCACCCACAGGACGAGCACCGCCAGGTCGCGTGGCAGCAGCGCCCTCCGCAGCCGAAGAACCACCAGCACCAGCGGCACGCCTCCAGCGCCGGGCAAACCACTCACGCAGCTCCTGTGGAGAGAGCGGCTCCCGGCGAGACGAAGCACCCCC